TAACGCTAAGAAACAAATGTATCTATCATATCAAACCAATGATTCCACAACAATTATTGCTTTAATTTACAAATAAAGTTACTTTTAAAATGGCATGGTACATGGACACAACAGAGTGACACGGTGGGAAGACTCAGGTTTGGGATTGGTACAGTGCAGGGTTAGGGAGCTGCTGCCCAGACTGCCTTGTCCTCATGGTGAGGACTAAGCTGGAACCCCAAGGCCACTCCTGTTGTCAGCAGCCCCACTTAGTACAAGATGCAAAAAAAATGGGCTGACACCAAGGGCCTAAGATGAGGGAGTTAATATGTCCACTCAGGATCCTATCAGTTTTGTCCCCCACAGTGAGCGCCGAGTCCTTACCTCTGCCTCAGGGCTGTGGCCTGGGGAGAGCAGACCAGCCTGCTCCTCAGGGGATCGGGGAGGGCTGGGGACTTGGGCGGGACCTGGACAGAACAGACACAGGATTTATAAGAGGAAACAACACCCTGCCCTTCCTGCTGAGGGCTCCTCTCCCAGCCAGCTCTGCAGGGGGGTCACTGTTGGTCAACAGAAAGAAAGTCCTTTCCCAGAGTGTCCCTAGATGCCACCTCTGCTCATTTCAGAAGTATGGGCTTTTTTTCACTTGTGCGATCTGTGTCCAAAGCTTGGAGATGTACCTTCTACCCTTTCATAGCTCCAGAGCACACACAGAAAGGGGCTGTTGGCCAAAGCCATGCGCAGGATCTGTGCAGAGGGAAGGGGGAAAGACAACAACAGGCAGAGCTGTCTGCCATTTGGAGGTTGGTATGCAGTGCACCAGCTCTGCTCCGGCTCTGCTCTGATGACCTGTGTCTTCGGTGCTGCCCCTGTCCTTGCAGGCTCTCCACAGGAATTCTGGAAGCAGTTTCTGCTGAGACAACAGGCTTACCTCTCTCCTGGTGCCCTGGTGTGGTGGCAGGTTGCTCCTCCTCATTTTCCGATACCCTCAGCTCCAGCTCCGCCTCCACTGCTGCCTGGTGCTGCATGCGAAACTCTGTTTCGGCATCTGATGGGATATCATCAGACCAGTGCTGATCTGGCAAAGGGAAGGGACAGAGCAGCCCTTGAGTGAGGCCCTGCTTCTTTACCAGTCTCCAGCTGGCCCCAGAAAGTAGCCGAATCAGTTCATCAACTACAGCACCACTGCTTGATGTCTGGACCTGGTTCTGTGTCCCAGCTAGGCCCTGCCTACTGGTCCCTACTGAGCTTCTGAGACTCAGAGCCTTTATTCTCTGCAACATAGCGCTCTCATCAAAGCCTACAGTGCTCCATTTCCTTTTCAAATACACAAGACGGTACCTGATAGATCACAACAGAAGGAAACATAGTGGGTGTGCCTGTGAAGGGCAGGCCTTACTTCACGGACTCACCACTGGTCTGTTTCCCCCAATACCACGGCGAGGTCTATGCTCCCTTACAGTCTTGCCTGGACTCGTCATTTCTCCCAGGCTAGTCCCTGCCACCCTTTCCCCAACCAACCAGCCTATAATTCTTAAAATACCATCTCTTTTGTAGCTACCTTTCAGAGGCGCACTGAATAAAGGCCCTTTTATAAAGCACCCAATCTGCTCAGTTTCTCAACCACAACTTAATGAATGCAGGCTATGCTGCACGGTGGCTGACAGGGGGAATGACACACATTCAAGTTAGCAGCAGACCAAGGAACACAACCAGGAGACCTAATGGCCACCTCTTTACGTGCCTTGCTTTTGCTTTAATGTATATTATCTTTCCCAAGTTCCAATCGCACAGTGGGGAAGAGAGTGATCAGCACAGTGGAGAGGGGAGGCTCTGGGGTCCCCCATACCATCATCCAGCTCAGCACCAGTGTCCCCTGTGTCCCCATTCTCCGCTGCCTCCCCTTCTATCTCTGCCGGCTCCGAGTCCACATCTTCCTCCAGGTCATTCTCATCAAATGGGACTGTAAAGCAGAAACGTTCAAAGGAAGGAAGAAAAGGACAGGCAGACAGACAGAGACTGCCTGTGCAGGTGGAAGCTGGTGGTGGTCTTCCCAGGGCTGCAGTGTGAAGACCATGAGGAGAGGCGGGGAGATAGACTGTGAAGTGTCTGGATTTGGACCCCAAGGTGGAAGTTGGTCAGCCTTGGGGGAGCTACACACAGTGTGGGTGCTGGTGAGGGCCTGGGGCCCTTCCTGAACACCTGGGACCAGCACTGCTCGATGCCAGCAGGGCCCAGTGGAAAAGGAAGGGCAGCTTCCTCTGGTCACCTCCTCTTCCCCCAAGACTGCTGTTAAGTGCCTCGGTGTGAGAAGGGCAGAGGGGAAACGCTGCCTCTGCAGGCCCAGCAGCAATGATGACTCTTCTGCCAGCACGCCCTGGACCGCTTCACAGGCCATGCGCCATTTACTCCTCACAGTAATCACTCAGAGGGCCTGTGGCAAAGCCGAGGCCAGAGAGTTACGGGATTTACTCATGGTCATATTGCTCCATCCAGCAGCTGCAGTACTGTGTGTAGGCGAAGTCACTGATGGATGAGGGACCAACAAGATGGACCCCTGAGGGCACCCACCTCCCCTTTCAACGGGTAGAGGTGATATCTTTGCTTGGGATAATTTAGAGAAATGTTTTTTTTTAAGGCTTGAAGGAGAGGATGAGGGGATATGTAAAGTTCACTGTCTAGATGCAACACCAGCCCTTCAGTGCTGCAGGACAAGGCAAAGCACTCATCGACTTCTCTTTCCTCAGGAGGAAACAGCCCCTAAACGCGCGCGCGCGCGCGCGCGCACACACACACACACACACACACACACACACACTCAGACCTGTTCCCAACCTCTGCACACTTAGAACTCACACTAACAGTTTGGAGTAAGACAAAGCAATTAGGAAAGCAAGGTGTGCTACTTTATAGGATGCTGTGAGGCCCCAGTGTTACCCAAGACCGACAGGACCCATCTTTCAGGTGTCCTGAGGGTTTCTTCTACGCTCCTAAGCACAGCCACTCTCACATCACTCCTAAAGGTTCCACTTCAGGAAAAGGGGTTACGCTTAGGTTCGTATATACAAGGGCCAGAGGATCAAAGCCCAAGGATGGGCAGGCAGCAGAGGCACTGGCTGTGGCACAGCTCAGATTTTTTAAAAGGCTGTACCACAGTGAGAGGCCGTGTAATGGCTGGGCCCTCTCAAGTCAGTGCTCTCGTCACTGTCCAGTCTCATGAATCTGCATCGCTGGCACCTTAAGGATGTGCAGAGTGAGTGTGGCAGAAATGTCGAGCAGGGATACCAAAGTCTGAATATGACGAAAATCCAGGAAAATCAAGTGACTACCTTTGGAGGCCGGGTGGGGAAGATAGGGAAGGGGCACTTTGAAGATGCTGGGGATGTGTGCTTTCGTGACCTAGTCACAGGAGTTCTTGTTAAAAAAAAATAATTACTGGGGTGCCTGGGTGGCTCATTTGGTTAAGCGTCTGACTCCTGGTTTTGGCTCAGGTCATGAACTCAGTTTGTGGGATTGAGCCCTGTGTTGGGCTCTATGCTGGCAGTGTGGACCCTGCTTGGCATTCTCTCTCCCTCTCTTTCTGCCCTCCCCTGCTTGCATGCACACGTGGTCTCTCTCTCTCTCTTAAAGTAAATGAACATTAAAAGATAATTCCTTAAGCTGTATAATTAGCTTCCCACCCTTTTGTATACTCAGTTTATACAAATAAGGTGATGATTTGCATCTAATTTTGGAGAACCATACAACATAGGTTTAGAATGGACTATGGGGAAAGATGAAAGAATTCCAGAATAAGTTCTAGGCTGGCAAATAGTTAATGTCACACTCCTTCTTTTGAGATACCAGAGCAGCCCATGGAGCTGGTAATGCCAAGATGCTTTCCTGTGATGGTGGCATTTGTTGGGGAAAATATTAGGGGTAAAACTACTCAATTATTTCCAAACATTTAAAACCTCTGCACGATAACTTTGCTGTTGTAGTTCATCAAATACCAGGAAGTGAGATTTCTTAGGAACAAACAAAAGTCTCTGTGCCTTCTCTAACCTGAGCTTCCTATCTGGATAACAAACTCATGGTTTCATGACACCATTTCTGAAGAGGCTGGACAGTTACCTCTCTTCCCCCAGAATCTTTCTCCTCTGGGAGTCATGTCAACCCGGTGGAAACAGAACCTGGGCTCATCCCGTCTGGGCCCACTGTGCCCAACACATATGCTCAAACAGATGTATGAGTGGCTAAGCATCAAGATGGCAATCTGTACTTCTGTTGGACAGTGCGCTGGACGTGGGCACAAAGGAGACCACACTGTTCAAGTCACACTGCCCCAGGTCAGCCTGACCCCAGCCCTGGTCCCTTGGCCCCCATGTGGTTCTCTGACTTGGAGTTGCTGCTAAGAAATGTCTGTTGTAGAGTCAGAAGGGTAACAAGTCTACAGTCCTTGGGAGTACCTTGAAAGGAACAATTGTCACATACATTAAAAAACAAACAAGTGAGAAATATCAATGCAGCAGCAGCAGAGGCTGGAGAAACGCAGCTTGAGGGATGGAATTGGGAGATTAAATCCAGGTTAAGATGGAGTGCAGAGTGCTAGAAGCTGCCACGCTATGGAAGCTGGGAATCACAGACATACTTAGCTTTTGGTTTATTTCAGCTGCCAGCTGGGAAGTCTTGACACCTCAGCCTTGTCCAACCATCCTGGGAGACGTGCTTACATGAGGAGAGATGGCCAGCAGCTTCTGTTCACAGAGCTAAGGTCTGGCCTCAGGCTCAGCTCTCCCTATGGTTCTGTGAAGGTACCTCCTGACTTGTGTGCCTGTGTCCTTTTCTCCTGCTGCGTGTCAGGTCAATGGAACGGGCTGGTAAGAGGCTGGTGGTAAAGATCCATGAGCTCCAATCCTATGCATCCCAGAAGCAACCACAAGGACCATAGTTTTCAACCAGGGGGTAATGCTTCCCTTCTTTAAGTGGTACTGATATTGTGTAGGGCAGTTTTGGTTGTTGCCTTGATGGCCAGGGTGGGAGTAGAGGCTGTATGGCTGATGACATTTTGAGGGCAGAGGCCAAGAAAGTTAAATGTCCTCAATAGAGGGGCGTCTGGGTGGCTCAGTCGATTAAACGTTCGACTTTGGTTCAGGTCATCTCATGGTTTGTAAGTTTGAGCCCCGTGTCGGGCACTGTGCTGATAGCTCAGACCCTAGAGCCTGCTTTGGATTCTGTTTTCCTCTCTCTCTTCCCCTCCTCTGCTTGCACTCTGTCTCTGTCTCTCTCTCAGAGATAAATAAACATTAAAAAAAAAAATTTTTTTTTAATGTCCTACAATGCAAAGAACTGCCTGCCCCTTGTCAAGAACTGCCATCACCCATGCTGAGGAATACCTGTCCAGAAAAGTTTAGGAAGGACAACCAAGGTTTCTCAGCTATCTCTTGGCCTAAGTACTTACAGAAACCCCGCACATCAGTACAAAGACCCAGCGGATGCTACATCAAGTTATACCCAGCCTGTCCCTCTACTGTTAGCAGAACAATCCTATGTTCTCCACTCTTCACTGAGGAGTCTTCCACAAGTCCCCTAGTACTGAATGTCTCCTTCTCTGTACTTTGGTGGGTTTGTGGGCTATTCACCGATTCTTCTACTTTCACACCCAATTGCTACACAATTTAATCTCTACAGACTTTAGAAATCACTGCTAAAGATGTTCCTTTAGCTTTGGCCTTTACTCAACCTTTATTAGTAAAAAACAAGTTTATGTCCTGTCTATGCTATTGCTCTCCTCCGGATCTTCCCTGAAAGGCGTGGGGTGCGTGTCTGGTCCATGCAAGAATGGGCCGCCTGAGTGAGGCATGCATGTGCCCCCCCGCCCCGACTGTGGCATGCACTAGCAGCAGAACCAGAATTCTAGTGTTAAGGTACCAGCAGAGCTGCCGAGAGAGAGTGGTTATGGTGAGTGGGGAGAGAACAAACATCACCAGACTACCTCCGGAGACTGTCTCCAGCCAGGCCTGCACTGCTGCGCGGCGAATGGAGGGAAGGTCAGGCACTGAATTTAAAACAGACGATAGATACAAAGTTACACAGGAATGCGGGTTCCCAGTGAGGAGAGTCGAGGTCATCCTAAAGCCCCAAACAGAAGGGAACCTGACAGATGTTCTAAGCCAGAGGCTTGTCCGGCAGCGATGAGGGGTCAGAGTCCCGCCGTAAGCCTGTATGACGGACGCTCGGGATGAGAAAAGAAGAGAGAAAACAGGGAGGGTCAACAGTGGCTCGAGGCTGCAGAGCTGCCCCATGCTGTAGGCCAGCCAGACGTCCCGGGTCAGTAGGGCCAGTCTCCTCACTCCCGTTGAATGGTTATACTGCTGCAAAAGTAGTTAACAGAAGGTGGTCTTGCCTAGAGGTGAAGATTTGGGGCCAGGGAGGATCAAATGTCCTCGTTAAGGGCTAAATTTCCTGAAGGCAGAGTCCTGCAGGGTGTGTGGCCCCAACAGGCCTGAATGGAAACGTGAAAACGAGTGAGAGACAGAGGTTCATGACAGCAAGGATCCATATTTGGACGATAGGTCTGCTGAGGTCAAAGGTGTGGAGAGTGACACAGCAGCCGCTGCATCCCTCAGCTGTCTCCATTTTTTCCTTTTATTGCTTGTAATCATCTTCACCCTCCTGTGGAGCACAGGCCAGCTCACCTAAAACCTAGAGCTGAATATTATGCTAGCTATTTTTAAAGGCCTCCTTGACATAAATCTCTTAAAACTTCATTTCAGTTCAAAATATACTGCCCCACCCAGTCCTGCCAATGTACATTCACACTCAGACACACCACAGGAGGAAAGCATCAGAACATTTTACCAAGTGGACAGAGTAACCCTGTCTAGCAAAATGGGGCAAGAAAGCAAATTCTTGGTTTTCCCAAGGTCAAGTTCATTTTACTATTTTGTGTCCATGGAGAAAGATCCCATAACCTCTTAACCCATAGAGAACTTTACATATCCTCAAACAAAAGTTCAGGGCAGTGGTCATGATTAACAATACCAGGACAACAAAATGGTTTGTTGGCTTTTACATTTTGATTAAACTGATGGCTTTGGCCCTACCAGAAGGGTCCTCTGTAGCAATGAGAGGGGAAGCAGGGTCAGAGCTGCTCTGAGGGGCATATCGGGCCCTTGGATCTTGAAACAGTTACCTCTAGAAGTGGAGGACTCAGAGGTTGGTACCATTCGCTCCTCCTCCTCTTTCTCTCGAATATGTGTCCAGTGCACATCAGCCTGGATCTCCAAGGGGTCGGCTGGATTTATGATCTGCTGTAGCCTCTGGCTCCCGACTAGTGTACCAGAGTCAGAGGTGGAGGAGATGAGGAAGGGAGAGATGGTGGAGGAAGGAAGCAGAAAATAAACAGTGAAGGGAAGGAGGGGATGAAACATCACAGGAAAGGAAACAGAAAGAAAAATTACTGTATTTGCCAGGATCACTTTGAATCAGAAAGAGGCAAAAATTGAGAATATACACGCGTGCTCACACAGACATGATTTCTACTCGTTCAGCTTGATTTTGTTGTTTCAAGCTTCACTTACACTGTTAATTTCAACGAAGTGAACCATATATCCCGACTCTAAACAGAAAGAATTCTCCTTTCTGATGCTCTTTTCATCTCATCTGCATTTGAGGGACCCAAATGCCAAGTCAGAAAAAAGAGCAGGTCACAACTGGCCTCTGGAGGGCCATCCCCTCTGGGTCACGAGTACTCTGCTGTTAGCCAGCACAGCGTGAGATCCCGAAGGATGCAACACTCTTGCCCCTTCTGAGGATACACAGCATGGTGCTTACCGTCACCTGCCATGTTGACAGCTTCTCCTTTGAGATTTAAGCCAAGTGACAAGTGAGAGATGGGATGGGACAGTGTCATTCTGTCATGAACCACCTAACTCACGCAGGACAGAAATGTACTTTGTTGGTACTTCAGTGTTTATCTTTTGCAGCTAGAGAGAGAGAGAAAAAAATCCCCCTTCCATAATAGGTCTCATGCTGCATGCAGGTCTGCGGCAGGGACACAGCTATGGGGAGAAAATGGAGACAGGGGAGGCAGTGGCTAGGAGAGGAAGCAGAGCTCTATCTTGTAAATTCCCAAGACTTTGGGAGTTCGTGGGCAGGAATAAAACAATACCTCTCTGCTTTTTCTGAGGTCAAAGCCTTTTTCTTACAACTCCATTTGGTGCACCACTGCTCCCCTCTGGACACAAGACCTGCCTTTTCAGCTAAATGAGAAAACACCAGTAGCCCCTTCAGATTATTCCTGCTGTCAGAGCCCAAAGAATATACATGCAGCCTCTGCCCTGTAAGCTCCCTATAACCAGTGCTTGGACCATGCCATACAGTTGGGTTAAAATAAAGGGATAGCCAGCAACTTGGGGGAGGGGACATTTTGGGAGGGAAGATGGCTTTTCAGTAGCAAGAGCAGGTGCCACCTGATCTGAAGGAGTCTGGGATTCCTGATGGGAGCCCACTCTCAACTAACTGGACAGTTTGGCTTTGGCTTCATCACTATCACACAACCTCTTAATTTTTAAGCAATGGGGAATGTGATATGGACAGAAAGTACTAGTAAGATTACCAAATGTGGATGCGGGCACCATCCTGTGTTAAATGTGGGGTGGTAGCCCCGCATGCACTCTCTTGTCGGAACTACTGGTCTCTACGGATTCATTTTTCTAAGGTCAGTTGGCTTTTATGGTGTTGGATGGGGCTGAATCACGGCAAAGTCACCCAATAGCTTGAATGTCACATGACTAAGGAAGGGAAGTCAAAGAGAAAAATGCAGACCCTTTCTTCATCTTCTAAGCCACAAAGAGAAGACAGTGAGTCTTCTCCCTGGATAATGTTCTGCTTCCTGTTAATAAATGTAGCCTTGGGGACTTATTAGCCAGCATGTCCTCCTTTCTCAGAGAAATGTTACAAGACACAATGGAGGAAGGTTCTGGGTACCTGTGCTGATGAAAACACCTGTGCCGGCTCCCCCACTTTTGATAGCTTTGACTGTGACATGATTTTTCAGCATTACAAGAGGCCGAGTCTTCGCTAGATGAGGGGACTTGCAGCAAAGCATACAAGGGGCCTACATGGGGCCACCATCATTAAGACTGCTTCTGGAGTCTTCTTCTCAGACTTCCCCTTGACTCTGCTTGTCTTATATGTTATTTGCTACATGACCATTCCCAAAGGCTGGGCCCAGGGACAGGTGCCCAGCTAGGCATGTGCCAAAGCCTGTCCGCGCAGCTTTATAAAGCACAGATCTTTTAATGTGGGACCTGCTCTTGAAGGCAAATTCTGGATGGCTGCTAGGGAGCCAGGGTAGAAGGTGGGCAAGGGGCAGAGTGGGTACCTTTACATGTACCCGTATCTTCTTCTTTTGACAGATGCTGGAGCCACTGGCTTTGCAGGAGTTCTCTGTCCCAAGGGCAATACTCCCCTTCTACAGCAGGGGGAGCCAGACACCCACAAACACAGCATCAAGAATCCCGCGTGGGGATAAAGAGAAAAGAGAATGGAAGGGAGGAAAGAGAATAGAGAAGAGTTATCTTCAGGTGCAAGGCAATAACATCCTGTCACTGTCTACACAGCCATGGAAGTCCACTGACCAAAAGATACACACACACCAAGGGCTAGGAACAAAGGCCCAGAGCTTGGCTGAATTTGTCGGTATGTGTTTCTGCAGTTAAATCCCATTCCCTGCAGGTTTGGTCTTGACACTAGTTCCAGATCCAGGAAATTAAGTCTGCATGAGGGAAAGCAGGGATAAAGTCTCCTGAAAAGGGCATAGGCTTTGACCCTAAGCTGTGTGTGGGGCTACAAGCCACTGAATGTGTGAATCACCAGATGGAGAAAATGACAAAAACAAAGTACCTTTCCCCTGAATAAGCTGTGAGCACAATCACCACCTCTGACTACTAGGGACCCAGAGGCAGCCCTGGGCCAACCACAGCTCTGCACACACAGCAGTTATGGAGAAAAGAACCCAAGGTGCCAGCTTTCCGGCCTGGCCTCCTGCTCGCACAGACCTTACTTCTCATCATGGGGAGGAGGAAGGGCCAGGGCACCAAGTGCTGCCTCTGTGGGCCCCACCCCAGCCTCTGTCTTTGGAGGGAAGAGCGCAGGAGAACTAGGTCTAGAGAAGCCCCTTAGTGGTCTGAGGAAGAGCCCTGCCTCTGAGCGTTCACACTGGCCCTGGGCACCTTGGGGGCAGGGAGAGGCTGTGCTTCCTTCTTGTCTGCCCTGCCTCGGCAGTGTCTTGGGCTACACAGCTCTCAGGACCAGTTCAGTAATGTAATTGGGAAGAGCTCTGCATCTGGTCAGCACGCGGTCCTTCCTGTGCCAGACTGCGGAATAGGACTGGGCAGCCAAGCACATCGAATTCCAGGAGGAGCAGCAGAGCAATCTAGTGCCAACTCTACGAGGCCCGGGGCTGTCCAGAATCTAATGTGCTCCTCTGACAACGGCTGGGAGGGATTGGTGCTTTAAAGGCCCATGTCCTTCTCTTCCATTCCATGTCCCCTGGAGAGAGAGCACGGCCGTGAATTAACATGGCACCATCGTCAGGGGGATTCAGGTCTCTACCTGCCCTAGTTTCTTCCTCCCCACCCTCCAGACCTCTGTGCAGACAGGGCAGGGAAGGAATGACCCTCTCTCTTACAGAGACAAAAAAGGATGCCCACCAAATTCTTCCTCATCACTCAAGGACACACACAGCCAGAGATGGGGGCAGAACTGAAACATTTCAAGTCCAAGGCAAGAGAACATTTCAGAGCCAACCAGAGTGACTTAATACTGGAACTGATGCTCCGTCTCAGGACACTGGTCCAAACATGTTACTACCTGTCATCGACTGAACCCTGTCTGGTAGGCACCTGGCCCCTCCTCAGTGACAGCAGCTCTGAGCAGAGTGAGATTCAGTGCTCTGCAGCCTCCAAAGCCCAGACTCTGAGTCAGGGAATCCTCTAGGAAGCTAAATTCCCTTTCTTTATTAAAATAAATTTCTTTAACAGAAACTAAAGGAAAAAAAAAACAACAGAAAATGAGGAGAGGAGAATGAGTGACCTAATTTGGTTGGAGTACTT